TCTAAAAGCTTCCAAAGTTGACGTCTTCAGACAAGGGGTGACTATATCTATTAACAGAGTAAGAGACGCGCCACTAGTATGCCCAGTAGCTATTATGTAGAATTAATTAACACTTAGAAACAGCAGTGGAGCATTAAGCGAGGATCCGCTATTTGTCAGCAGCAAGGGTAGGGTCTTAGACAGGTCTTTATTTATAAATATTTTAAAGGAAGCTCTTAAAATATTCAACCAAATGAATATAATGGTCACAGCTTCAGAATAGGAGCGGCGACCACGACAGCGACTAGAGCCCATGTGCCAAACCACCTCATCAAAACGATGGGGAAATGGTCATCTGACTGCTTCAGGAAATGCATCAGAACAGATGCCAAGTCAATAAGAGATGCACAAGAGAAAATGGGCTTATGTAAATAAGTTGATTTATTTAAGGATACTTTATATGTAGTAAATTATCTCTACAAAATGAGGATCATTTTAATTTAATTATTACTATTTTTGGGGGCTTCCATTACAGGTCTTAGAGTTCATTCATGTTCCCTCATCAACCTGCAATTCCATTTGGCATTTAATTAAGCCGTAGCTTAATCCTTTTTCCCTCAAAAATATATCATAATTATCTTAACACTTTGACAAAATTTACAACCCGAGCTTTCTTCAATCCTATAGCAACCATGCCCCCGAAATCAACTCCTACTCAGATTCCGCAGTTTGTCCTACTTACGACTGCCCCAGGCTCATGCCTTCAGCTTCTCTCAGAGGCTGCCTTTTCAGTTTCGCAACGAAACTGCCATCAGTAGAAACAAAATTTCTATTACCTAGCCATGCGTTGCCCCAGCTCGGTACGACCATGAGTGAACTCCTGTAGCCCCTTATTGCCAAAGATGTTATTGTGATTAAATATGTTATTTATATAATTGTTAATATTATATGTTGATATTTATTACACCTGTTTCAATCAAATATTGGTTAATGTTAATTTGATGTTATTTAAAAAGTAGTCATAGCTTAATGTTATTTTTTAAATATTTTCCACGTTACAGGCGCCTGTGGTTTATTGTACATTCTTTCACGCGATGTACGTAAAGTTTGTGGTCATTCAGACTATAATACATTGTTTACATAACCTTTCAGTCATTATCGTTTGGCTCAAGTAACTCACAATCTTTCAATCTACTCTAATATTCTTTGTAAACAAATCTCAACAAATATGTATCTTTACTTTGTGTCAACAGAGCTGCTAACTATGCTAACTTCTCTAAAAACTGATTATCGCCAACTCTATTTCAAAACTGTTTCAAGCCCGGCCTCGCTAATTAACAAAACATAGTTCAAGAAAGCGGATGATTTTGAAATCTTAATGGGGTTTGACTGGCCTGGGCTATATGGAAAATGAAATGGAATGGGGTTAACATCCTACATTTCTGCACCATCCGAAGTAATGAAGACGTCCACTCAGCTATGAGGATCCAACCGCCAAGGACTCTTTTACGTACACGCTAACAAATACATTAAAGACTTTTGGCAAGCGTAATTTCCTGGTCCGTATCGCGTATCCGTATGGATTTTGCGTGTGACGTCATCAATGTCTGTGTATTTCTCATACGTCATACGGCACACGGATACGGCAGCACGTATGGAACGGCTTTCATACGGAAATGGTCCGTATAACACTGTCGTCTTTTTACCGTCTTTTTTGCTACTTTTCGACGCTGAAATGTTGCATCATAGCGTTTTTATGAATCTATGTGTATCCTGGAACACGAAGGTGTATATTTGATGTGATTTTAACAGTGATAACGACTGCAATTTAATCATTATTTTTGATGGGTTTTTCTCGGAATTTTCATATTTTTCCCGCCTGTCTGCATACTGGTTGATCTATGGGCTAAACTTTCTGAAATGATACTTTAGTGAAACCAAAAATTGCTAAAATCTGCCAAAACTTTAAAACTACATTGACGCAACGTATCACGTATACGATACGGATACGGGATACGGATGGGAAAAATCCGCTTGCCAAAAGTCTCTAATGTTGCACTTCGGGCTTTCCTTGACAAGCCATCCATTCTGCACTACTGGCAATGGGGAAAAATCCGATTAACTTAATACTCGGCCAACGCCGGGTTCGAAGCCAGGACCTCCGGGTAAGTGAGCTAGTACCATACTCATTGAGTGACGGGATATCTGGAACGAAGTGTAGAGGCTGTGTGTAGACATTGACGGGACTCGTGGTTTTCTTGTGGAGTGTTTTACACGCCCCGTCGTCTCTTTGCACCTCACTTAAAAATAACATACACTCTCTTTTCTAAAACAATGTTGCGGGTAGGCTACTCATCTGAACTTATCTGACATTTTAGAATTGTCGGCAAGTTCACAAATTTAGAATCACTCTAACACACTGATTATCAACCAGTGTGCCATGGCACACCTGTGTGCCGCAAGATCTTCCTTGGTGTGCCGCAAAATTTTGAACGACACAGTAAAGAAGCCAGCTATTTAACTGGTGAAATTCGAAACACTGCAATAAAGTTCATAGCTGTGGGTTTTTTTTATTAGTTTGAATCGTTATATTGTGTCTATGACTAGTCCGACGGTTGTATGCCGTCTATGACTTGCCATGTTTTTTATTTTGCAAAATTCAAATATTTTTCTTATATTTAGCCAGGTGTGCCGCCATTTTTTCGTGTGTTCCAAGGTGTGCCGTTGGTTTAAAAAAGGTTGAGAATCACTGCTCTAACACAGAGGCGTAGCCGTGAAATATATATTGGGGGGGGGGGGGCGCAACCCTAACCCCTAATCCTAACCCATATTTTTAAAACCCCTAAAAAATATAAACAAACACCATGTGGCCATGCAGTCTACCAAGACACCGCGTGCAAAAGCAATATGGTTACGTTGCTGGCTGAGCGGGCGATAAATATTTGGTTTAGGCGGTTATGTTTTTGGGTACCTACATGCGATTCACTCTGATAAGTGGCAGAAAAAAAACTACCAAAATATAACTGACAGGCTAACTAGACACAATTTTATGGAACACAGGTACTTTTCACTTCACATGTTTCCAGGATGATTATCTCTGTGTTTTATTTTAGCAGTATAAACCATATGTACAGGTTTTATACAGATAGAATCTAAACTAATCCTAATAATTGTTGTAAATAAATAGGAAATTGGGCCTACTATGTAAATTTGGGGGGGGGAGGTCCAAGTATATTCAGCCCCCCCCCCCCGCCCCCCAGAAAAACAATTGGGGGTTCGGACCCTCCCGCCCCCCCCCCCCCCCCATGTGTGACGCACACACTCTAACATATATCATAATAGTCTTTTTACTCTGTGTATACTGTTTTTATTTCTGCACTTGTTTTGTTTATGTCGTCTTCCTGTATTTAAGAGTAAGTCATCGGGTGAGGTTTTCAACAATAATGCCTACGTCAATAAAGGTTTCTTATAAATAATTTATAGCTCCAGGGTATAACAATTAATCAGTCTGTTTTGGGATATTTCGTCTTCAAGAAAAGTAAGATTACGTGTTTAAAATGTGTTTTATTGTTTACAAACATGTACAGTTACCGGCAGAATTTAGTTGTTGTCGTATGGAAACGTGTTACGGGGAGATTTCCTTGAAGAAAATATATAATAAAATTTCTACCAACATATGAAACATTTAACTACCAGGAATTCGTTAAAAAGTTATTATATTTTAATATTTTTAATTTGGCACAGTGTGTCTAACCTTTTAAAAACACTAGCGGCAATTACTGATAAATATCAAGGACATGTTCAAGATATTTTTAGTGTACATTTCTGTTTACAGTATTGCACCCAATAAGAATGGGATTATAAACACATGCGGTGCAAACTGGATGGCGAACATTTTGTAAAACAAAATATATTCATAAATTTGGTCTAACAAAGATAGTTGTTTAGGTTTAATGCCGATCTCCTTGCAAGTAATGGGTTGGTATTAGACGAAATACGACATTTGTATTTATACTTTATGGTTTATATTTGTTATTTTATTTTTATTTTACCGTGTATGTTTTATAGTTGTGTTATCGTTCTTGTCGGTGGTATGTAATACACATTACTCCATCGTTATATCTGCAATCTGCGTCTTATGTCAGGACGGCCTTGTAAGTTTCTGCATTAGAGATTGGCAATTGTAGGTTTACATATCCATCTTTATCTCTTTTACTCTACTGATATTAAATAATATTAAAATATACACATGGAATATCCATGGGCTTAATGACACGCGGTTAAAATTGGATGACTATATTTTGTTAGGAAAATATTCACAAATTCGATTTAGATCTTACAGAACCATGGACTAATAAAGATATTAGTTTAGTTTTGAAAACTTATCAAAATATCCATTCCTTTGGGAAGAAAAATAGACGCGGTAGTTTACTGGTTTACTTCAAACATTGTCTAAATGTTTAAAAACATTTAAAATAAGTTAGGAATTCTTTAAATTTATATTTGTTTCTTTTGTTTAACGTTATCCTAATATATCATCGTTATATGTAAAAGGTAATAAACATGATATTATTGAAATACTCAACCCAGAAATTTTACACTATTAAAGTTTAGTCTAAATGGTAATATGATAATCAGCTGCGATTTTAAAACATCAATATTCGCAGATTACAATATGTAACACGTTATTTATAAATGTTTGGTGACAATGCTACAGGCATTTGCACGTAAAAGAACCCTTGCCAGTTGGAATTCTATGAAGAGTGGGTGGGTTGGTGTTGAAGAACATTAAACCCCTTTTCATTTCCCTTTTACCTACGATCTTAAATAATCAACAGCCCCGTTTAAATAATTAGCAGTACCATTATCCACAGTCTTAAATAATCAGCAAATTTCCTTTCAGTATAATTTTAAATACGATAGAATCCAATAAATTAATGCTATTCTTGCGAAATGAACCACTGCGAAACTGCCAGACAATTCTTCTTGGGCTACGCAAATCATAAAAGTGTTATACTTACGGAAAACATTGTGAAGTATTATCTGTATTGTAATTATAACGCTCTTCGCTCAGATGATAACTCTCTCTTGCAAGTTAATCATCAAACCTTGGATAAAACTTAAACATGTAGATCACGTGACTATGACAGTATTCTATTCATACGATGTTAGGCAAGATTTTGGGGCGTAGTCTACAACCTAGCGTCATCACGTATTAAAATAGCTGGTTAACTCGTTCCACACGCAAACTCGTCCACAAGCTTAGGTTGACTCGTCCACTAGGTATTGGTAATGTCGTCCACAAAAGTTAATAATAGTTGACTCGTACAAACATGTTAATTGTATGAAATATTAAATCAGCGGTCTTGCTGTTGTTGTTTATTACAGATTTAACGTCCAATACAAAATAAATGATCAATTATCTATATATATATATATTTGTAACTGTCGTTTGTCTGTCTGTCTGTCTGTCTGTTCGGGGTTGGCGGCTACACTAGGTCTGCCCCGAGTCTGAAATTTGGGGTATAGGGGTAGCTCGGACCGGGGAGTAACATAGGCCAGGTGGCGTTAGTCTACAACTTCCGGTTTCGGAGTTATGACCCCCGAGCGAAGCCGGTCTGTTCGGGGTTGGCGGCTACACTAGGTCTGACCCGAGTCTGAAATTTGGGGTATAGGGGTAGCTCGGACCGGGGAGTAACATAGGCCAGGTGACGTTAGTCTACCACTTCCGGTTTCGGAGTTATGACCCCCGAGCGAAGCCGGGTATCCTGCTAGTAAAAACATAAAACAGTACTTGTATATAAAAAGGTGACTTAAAAAAACCACGGTGTTAAAATTCGCTGTCGTGATAACAGAGTGTGAGTCATCGTCATAATAAGCAGTTTTACTCGCGGTTCTTTTTGTTGAACTTGACTGACCGATCACGGTCAAGATTAACTCACCTCATATTGAGTGTCGATTATTGACATCGATGATTGACAATTTAACTCACGTTTCGCCTCAAAGTCAAACATACTACAATACTCCTGTAATCTGGAAAAACCTAGTAAGTCTGTTGAATGCAAATTTGAGAAAACAAAGGGAAACTGTTTTGTTTCAGGATTAAGCTACTGAATATAAAATAAATTTTTATTTTGGCTTTTTAGATGAAGATAATTAGAAGCCTTTTCAGTGAAGGAGAAAAACCTATATTATATACTAAGTCCAAATATGGGTCTAACTCAATTTTCACCAAAATTTGACATACTATAGGTTTTTCCATCTCACAGGAGAATAGCATCGGGAGTATTGGTTAATCAGCGTTACCAATTCCGCTTTAATCGTTGCCGTTTTTAACATTTTCCAACCAGGTTCTTCATTAAATTTATACACTATATTTGTCGATTTGTACTGCCCTATGTGTTTGTGTGTATTGTCCTAATTACAATTTTGTAGCCCGTGTAACAAATTATAAACCTCGGAGCGATAGAATATAAGAAAAACGCATTTTCGGCGGTTTAATTTTCAAGACTAAACGACTGATTGGTTGATTGGAGTTCATGTAAAAAATGTAAGCCACCTATGTTAGGCTATCAGGCCACATTGAGGTTGCTGTATTCACAGAATGGAATAGTAGGAAAACGCGTTTGCGTAGGTGTTTTTTGATATATTAAATGAATTCCATCAATAAGAGGTACGGAATATTAACACATATAATCTGGCTTTTGTTGGTGAAGACAAAGCTTATCTCAGCTCTCAATAACTTTTTGAAAAAAATCATAATCGTATTTTCTTGCAAATGTGTTACTATGTTATTTACATTTTTTTTGTCGGGATGAAGTTTTTGTTCAAATGTCACGAGTGTGTGTTGACTTGTATTAAAGAATGGTGGTAATTTACACTATGTACCTATTTACATGTTACATACCTGACCTATAACATCTGTAATTGAATTCAGTCATTTCTATTTGTCACCCACTGTTTACAGGCAGTTCAGTCTATTTCGTTTAATTTGTTGACACAAATGTTACAAAGAAAAAATATACGCTTTCGCAAAAATATGGCCATCTATATACCTAGTATCGTTTGAAAATATTTGTCCGAAATTGAGAATAATATTATAGCGGGTGGTAGAGCTTTGATGGGCGTAATGAGAAAGCTTTCTTCTAACTCTGTGTAAGATGACTGACCTTTATAGTTCGCATGCATTCCATGTGTGACGTCACATAACACTGCCTGGATAGCCTGTGCATTGCTTGCATAGAACATAGTAACGTAAACTGATCAGTTTGGGATTGGGACTCATATACGAAAAAAATATGAAATTACTTTTGTACCCAATGTTTATTACAAGCAAAGAATTTGGATGAAAAGCCGACAGAAGTTAAAGAAATCTTTAATCTTGAAATGACACACAGAATACACTAAGCTTGTTTTAAGATGAGCATGCTGGCACCACTGGCAGTCCAACGGCTCTTTTTGGGATCTAAAAGTTTTACGGATTGTGTGAAAAATTATATTTAAATGGCTCCAAAAATGTTTTACAAATAACCATACCTATGAATATTTAAAATGGCAACTGTCACTTTCTAAACGCTCTGCAAGACCGGACTCATGAGAATTCTATTTAAAACGTACCGGGATTGTTCAGCTAGTCATCAAGAGAGACTTGTCTAAATTTGCGCAGTAGTGTTATTGTATTGTCAATGTTATCGTATAAACGCACTGTGTTCAAAGCCGCGCAATGTTATTGCATTGTCAATGTTATTGTATTCACGCACTGCGTCCCAGAGTTTGTCGACATATTCCATAATTTGATATTGCAATACTTATAGGCACAGTTTACTAGGATAAACAAAAATCAAACAAAATATTTCCTGTGGTATATGGCACCTTAAATTATTAATATTTCTCTTCATTTCGATGGGTATTATAGAATAGAATAGTGGTCGTGAAAATGGTACATGTAGTTCGTAATGACTCACTTTGTAAACATACCCCCTCCCTAATAATTTAGTCCTGGACTCCCAAAAGAAGTCTTGAGTTTATATAGATCATTATTAAACATCTGAGTTAGATGGAGCAAATATGAACTTACGTTAAAGCAAGATCAACAAATTGTTATATTTTTAGAATGCATTCAATTCTGATTCATCTAAACCTTAGAAATTGCTTGAAGCTTTAGCAAATTATTGAAATGTATTATTAAACAACCTCTTCAAATCTTTTATTGAACAATCTCTTCATATCTATTCACCGACTATATTTTAATACCCTATGCCAATAATTATACGAATATTTAACTTAAAGTGTTGGCCCCTTTCCCATAGTCACCTTTCTTGAGTCACACCTTGGGTCAATGAGAGCATGAAACAATTGAGACTAAGAGTGTACTATATTTCTATATATATACTCCTCAAAAAAGTAGGGATATTCAGAAACAATACAAAACTGCGGAAATGCACTGCTGTTTTTATTAGAGGTAACCAGTGTATGTTAATAAAAGGCCAATTGCCTATACATAAACAGTTCATATGGGCGGCTTATCTGACGGCCCCATTTCACTCGCAAAGAGATACACCGTCAAAAGTGAAAATGGACGTTTTTGATTTTTGTCTTAATAATGAGTAATTGCTCCACCAATCCTCAGACATTCAGCATTTCGTCGTAACATGCTCCTAATCAACCGTCCAATCACGATTTGGGGCAATCTGACCCACTCCTCTTGCAGTGCCATGGTCAATTTTTGCAGCGTTGTCGGTTGACGTTGACGTCGACGAACAGTTCTCCCGATCAAATTAAACGTAACACTCTAAAGCAAAGATACGCTAAACGGTAAATCTTATGCAAGAACCGATAGGAAAGCAAACATGGACAGATAAACCAGCACGCGGCAGTTTTCATCAACCCTTCCTTGAAGTGTCAAATTTGACAATGATCCCCTCCCACGTGTATGGCGCTATTGCGTGTCGTATGTGCAGCTCAGTGGTTCTGTTGAGGCGATAAGGTCTTCATCTGTGAACATACTCTCAAAGCATGTCAAGTGTCCATGACTATATATCATATCGCAACCTGCATAGGTATTTTCATTTCAATATCCCCTACTTTTTTTGAAGAGTATATTATCTAATAAAACATAAGAAAATGATGACAGCTACTCGGACAACGCACCACAACGACATCATTTATAGACCGCTCACACGCTTATATTCAAGCTATAATGTCCAAAAGAAAGTATACACACTAAAAATATGACTAATTTTTATTTTGATTAAAAACTTTTGAAAAAACTTTACCGGGTTTTTCTCTTGCGTCCAAACTCAATATTTCCAAAATAAAAAAAGCGAAACAAATTGACATTGTACCCAAATGCCGCATACGATGGAAAACGACTTTGGTTGATGCAGCACGAAATGCACAGTGTATACTTTCTTTTGGACATTAGTATAGTTTAAATCTTCATAATTTTCAAGCCAGGTGGTTTAGCGTTAAATCCTTGTTGGTTAGCTGTTAGAGTTACCTGTCCTTACTTACTGCTCGTGCACTAAGCGGACTGGAAACAGCGTTTCTAAGCTATACTGTCACAAGCATGCAGTGATTATTCTGTGTAAAACATCTGCAAATCTAGATGTACCAATCAAATATTGAATAATCGAAAGTTAACGGCAATGAACGTTTCCGGTGTAGACCATCTTGGGTTTGGGGGGGGGGGGGGCAACATCAGGAAATCAGGAATGAAGAAATAGTTAAATAAACGAACCGTGGGCAGAATATATTAATCTGTTCAGACGGTGAAGATAAGTCAGATTTCTCGAAGACAGGTAGAGAGTTGGCTAAACGATCGCCGGCATTTTTAAACAACAGACAATACCCACTTAATCCCAGCGGCCGAAGGTGGAACTACTGGCCATGCAGCAAAAAATAGCGAAGTTAATTCTAAACCAGGTTCCATCGACCCCCCTATTTCACAGATTACATATTAAGCTAATACTTAAAGATACATCCCCATGACATTATTTATAGGGTAGTTACAACAATATGGCATATTTGGTATATGGGCTATGACGAATAGAGATATTCAATCATACAAGAAGGAAAAATGGTGGATTCCCTGAAAAAACGCCAAGAGGACGCTAACAGGACAAACGCGTAAGGCTGTCACTACCCGGTAAACTGTCTGCTCGTGTGACGTAATGACTAAC